AGCAGGAGAAACATCTGACTGAGCAAAGACTAACTTATACAGTGGTTTGGAAGCCACGTGTTGAAAAGTGCTGGGGAAACACAGCAGGGAAAATGATAAAAAGGGATGAAAGCCATTCAGACAGGCAAAGAATGCTGATTTAAAAATGCAAAACACCTCAACGCTGATGAGTGGGCAGGTTGCAATAACTTTAGGGCAGATCTCAGTTGCACAACAGTCAAATACTGTAAGTAGACTCCCACAGGACATAGCCTGTAGTGATTTAAAATTGGAAGAGGTGGGGGAAGTGTTGAGATACTGAAGAGAACAATCTTGCAGCAGCAGAGTGCAACTAGGAAACAGGTCAGCTGGAGTAATAGCTTTTTTCCATGTGTTTTGTGTAAGCCAAGCCAAATGTGTGCAGAGCGCAGGGTTATCATACTCATGAACTTTTTTTCAATGTATTAGAAATGAATTTGTTTGCAATGAAAATTAGCCATCCAGGTATAACATTATGAATCATCCCTCTGTTTGGACACTGTTGTAAGTCCCAAAGTCAGCTTGCTTTTTAATAGTCTAGACAAAGCCTAGAACATTAACAATAGACTCTGTTTGGAAATGTAATGCTGTGGCCTCACATTCCAAAGAGGTCAGCAGAAATATTGGTCTAAAGTATCCCTGCTAATACCACCTGCGGTTTGCTCTCGCCTCTGCATTGTGGTGGGCAATCTCCTCATTTGTGCTGAAACAACTGTATGTGTGGCCGCACTGAAATGGATAAAGGAGCTGACCCAGTTAACACAAAAATACCCTCTAACACGTACGTTTCTCCCCCACTCCTGCCGTATCAGTTTACTAGTGCAGTTCCTTATTGTGCCAGCTCCCTACCTAGCAGTGTTGCTCAAGCTGGAGACCGAGGCATGGTGCAAGGGCAGGAGCGAGGAACTTACACCAGAGTGATTGCCCATTTCTTCACGATGTGAAAACATAGCCTCACTTAAAACTTGGTTTTAAACTTTACGTTCAGTGTTGACATACTTTAACAGCTTCCAGAAAGGTGATGGCGTATGATGACTGTGTTTTTGGTCCTGCCCAGTTGTCAAGTATAACCAGCCAGTGTGTTGCTAGAGGTGTGTAAATTGCGTGTGGCAAAACTGTGGTAAACTATGTGTGTGTGAATTGTGTGTGGTGTTTGGCAGAGGTCTGATGAGGTGGAGGCTCCTGACGCAGAGCCTGTTAATGAAATCTAAGCCTGCCACCACTCAGTTTCCCCTTTTCTGACTGCAGCTGGCTGTTACAACTGGCTTTTAAGTCCCGCTATTAATTAGCCATTGAAATGAACGGGTTAGAAACAAAACTCCAAGAGAAAGGGATTATTTTTAATCCAGATCAGCTAAGTGATCCATCACTTAGTAGTCCATCATTTACACCGCAGTGTTGCAACTGCGGTGGTGGATGAATACGATGCAGGGAGATGAAAAAATAGCTTATTCTAAGGAGGGACAGGATTTTCTTAAGTCAACTCTGCCACCAAAGACAACATCCACTTGCTTATGCAAGTAAGTTCATGTTTTCTTCTTCAGACTAGGCCCTAGGAAGCAGTCAGTGGACATCCTGCAGTAGGGACACTATATGGTGTGTGTGGTTATTGATTGATGAGACTTTGAGGTAGAGCATTTGATGAATTTTTAATATAACAGCTAAAACCAGTGTGTTAGGCAGAGGGATATCTCTGTCAGGCTCTCGCTAACAGTGACTCGTTCAGGCCAGACTGCTCCAAGGCACTTCAGGAGCTAGTTAACCTTATAGACTTTGCACCTCTGAACATCACATCCGAGGCGTGGGCAGCAGCTGTTCATACTGCAGCGTGCAGCCTGCAAAGTGAGGATATGGGCTTGCAGGATCATTCAGGCAGGTCTGTGGAGTCACTTAAGCCTCTTTGGGTGGCTAGTAAGATTCATGCATAGTAGGCCCATGATAACCCAAAACATGTGTTGATGAAAAACAGTAGACAACTTCCAGTCCTCCCAGGCCACTACCTCCTGGGTTTACCTCCTTTGGTAGATGACCAAGCTGAATAGCATAGAAGGAGGTAGCGTGTGTGATGGCCCTTTGGTCCAGTCATGTGTTAGTGTTTTCCTTGGAAAGCAGCCCCCCTCAGTCAGGCTGCAGTTCATTTTGGAGAAAGCATCCTGCCTAATGGACAAGCTGTCCAGAATCCCTGGGGATTAGCAGAGCACAAGTCTAGGTCTGACTCCTTTCCCCACCTCCTTTAAGGAAATCTCCATCATTATCCTAGAGGTGTGTATATTCAGTTAGTTGCGCCAGCCGTCTTCCTTTTCAGAAAACGTGAATAACTCATCCCTTGACATGCAGAATTCCAGAATATTCCTTCAAGTCATCTTGGTGAGCATGCAGCATCTGTAGTAGAAATACAATTGTTTTTCTCATATTAGAGTATGATTCTGGGCTGCCCTCCACTCCCAGCAAACGATTTGTCCCAGTGATGCTATACCAGTTCATGCTGGCTGAAGAAAAGGCCCCCCTCCATTCTGCCGGTGTGATAGTTTCCCTCACACCTCCTCGATGATACCCGCAAAGCACTGTCTTTTTAGGGACATACACAGAGGAGGACCTAGGGGAGTGTATGCTCCCTGTCCTATCCCTTTGTGCCCAGGCTCTTTCTCAGTCCCACTGCGAAAGGACTTTTTAGGACAAAGAGAAAGCAGCTAATATTCCCTCTAATACGCATGCAGTCAGGCTTGGGGCTTGATTTTGCTCTTATTATGGTATGCTCTGTACAGGCAGGCAGGCACATGATCTCCCTGAAGGCAGGATCCAGTGTTACTGTAGAAACTGGCCACCAGCTTCTTTCGTAGCTAGCAGCTGTCATTGTGTGGTTAGAGCCAAAGCGTGTCACTCCTGCAGTGCCTGCAAGCCCTGGAGTCTTGTTTCTGCTTCTGAATCCCCCATGCTACAGAATAAAGATTAATTCTGCACCTTCTATTACAATTTGCTAAGACATTTCTGTACCGTATCTATTTTTAGAACCCTTCCTGATTAATATTTTATGTTCTTTCCAGGTTTTATTTTCCTTCACCGATACTTCAAGGCACAGAGGAGCTGGTAAAGGCATTGCCATGAAACCTAACTTGAAGCAATGGAAACAACTCATGCTGTTCGGGATCTTTGCATGGGGTCTGCTTTTTTTGGTGATCTTCATCTATTTTACAGATAGCAACACTGCTGAGCCGGTTCCCAGTTCCTTTTCTTACATTGAAACTAAGAGGCTTCTGCCCATTCAGGGCAAGCAGAGAGTCATAATGGGAGCCATACACGATCCATCATTCTCTGAAACTATTGATGAGAATGAGGTACTTCTTAATGAAGATCTTTTAGGTACATTTAAGTCGGGGACTGGAAGTATTAAAAAATGGACTGATTTAGAGGATGCCTTCAGAAGTGAAGATGAGTTTTTTCCATCCCAGATAGGAAGAAAATCAAAAAGTGCTTTCTACCAAGTGAGTAATGATTATTTATTTGCTGCTGGTCAGCCTCAGTCACACAACAACCTTCAAGAGATAGCAAAATTCATCTCAGCCGATGAGGATAATCCAAAAGAAAATGTTTTACAGAATAACTGGAGCCACCAGAGAAGAATGAGGAGAAGGAACTCAAAGCACAGGAGAAGCCAGATGCTGGATGAATCTGATGACTGGGATGGGCTATATTCCACAATGTCGAAATCCTTTCTTTACAAGCTTTGGAAAGGTGATGTCTCTTCCAAGATGCTAAATCCTCGACTGCAGAAGGCAATGAAAGATTATTTGAGCACCAATAAGCACGGAGTGCGGTTCAAAGGGAAACGAAACTCCAAGCTGACAGGAGACCAGCTTTTTTGTGAGCTAAAAGAAAGGGTGCATGTGAAAACAATAGATGGCAAAGAGGCTCCCTTCTCCACTCTTGGATGGGAAAAGCACGTTCCCCAAATTCCACTGGGCAAATTGTATACACATGGTTTTGGGAGCTGTGCTGTAGTTATGTCTGCTGGTGCAATACTGAACTCCTCTCTAGGGAGTGAAATAGGTGGGTGAAATACATCTGTTCATGTGCATATATGTATGTACATATATGTATTCACATTCATCTTTAGAAAGATTCAGTCTTCTCAGGGATAGGTCTGTAAAGTCCGGTTCTCTCTTGCCAGTGTTATATCAGTGTAAGCTTATAGCTTTAAGTAAAGCTATTCCCTTTCAGAACAATATAACTGAAAGGAAAATCTGGCCTGAGGTCATAATTTTATTTAAATAAAACAATGATGGCCTTTAATTATATTGCAGCTAGTAGTATAAAGGAGGCATTGGTTTCATCAGATATCTGTCACAGATAGACATTTTGCTGCGATGTGTGTTTATTTCTTCAGAAGATTTAGAACCATGTTCAGGCTTTTATACTGAAAAGTTGTGTTATACCTATCTATATTTTTGGGTGGTTCATAGAAAAGCTGCTTGTGGTCTTGCTATCCCAGGCTGAAATTTGCTTCCATGCCAAGAAGCAATACAGCATCCTCTTCATCTTCTACATGTGTAGAGTTCACAGGCATATAGAAGTCAGACCCCTGAGGAGCTTCATGAGTCGAAGTCAGGTCTTCTGACCTCTTTTACAAGTGTGAATTTAAATGAGTTCGAGTACCTCCTCCTACTGTTTTTCCATGCTGCACTGAATCGATGAGGTTTACAGGTGCTGAGACATCAACATTACACAGAATTCCCCGCTTCCAGTTGGTAGTTTTGTGATAGCTATTCAGAAACGGATTATGGAGTCATAAAATTAATCCAGGTCAATTTTACTTTTTCTTTTCAAAAATGAGTGTTGCTAGTCACGTTAGTAATTCTTAATTTTAGTAGTATATATGCAGCATGCTGAAAGTATTGAAAGAAGGATGAAACGCATGTCTCAAACCTGCTTCTGGAGCAAGAAGAGTTATCATCTCCTTCAGCTTCCTATAAAAACCTTTTCATGTGCACTTGTTAATCCTCTCATCTTCTCGGACTTCACATCCTAATACCTGCTTTATCGCACTGTATCACCTCTTTGACTCAGACGGGTTTCCTTTATAACTTTGGGATATATTAGAACGTTATTATCAAACTACTCTAATAGGCTTCCAGCACAGCACAGGTGCCCTGCCTGCCTTCAGCTAAAATCAAACCAGGGTAACCCCTGATTTCACAGGAAGCCCCACTGATTTAGAGACCTCTAAGGTGAAATAGCTTAACTATTCCTCCCTTCTACAATATGTTATCATTGACTGAAACAAAATCTTCTGTCAGTGCTACCCAATACACCTGGTTTACACCAGTACTGATTAGTGCTGTAATGGAGAATTCATAGCGATGAGCTGTTTGCACTCTTGGTATATACCAGCACAACAAGTATGGAGTTTGGTGCTTGGATAATACCTGGTGGTCCTTATGTTCCTGTATGTATCCATTTTCTCTGAAACACTCTTGAGTACAAAAAGCTTGTGCTATTCACTGACAGAAGAGCTTTTGATTTAATTGGAGATTTTCATCCGATGCCACCTGAAGGGAGGAGGTATCATGTTTGCTATACACTTCCAGATCTGCTCCTACTTGATCCCAGATCACCCCTGTCTGTTTTACAGGATAGCCTGTGTAGCAAGAGTCACAAAAGATTTTTTTTTTGATTTATCCTCCAGGCCATTGTCATGTACTTTTGGCTGGGCAGGGAGTGTGGCCCAGAACGGTGGCGGGGCAACTGACTCCTTAAAGCCATCCCGGGCTGGCCTCATTCATGTGTATGGGTCTTAGTGGTCACTGCAGCTCCTTACAAGTGCAAATACACTGGAGAAGTAGTGCCAGTGTTTCCCTCTTAAAAGGCTGGTCTATGGAAAATGGAAGGGCCAGCAGCTACCTATATTACATTTCCTACAAGGAAGGAATTATGCTTATAACGCGCAGTTCAAATAATATGTGTCATGGCTGAGCTCTTGGTCTCTCCATGTACCTTTCCACCTCCCCTCCAGTCCTTGACGTTGGGAGAAGAGCCTGTCTGGAGAGAGAGATGAGCTTGTTTAAGATTTTTTTTTCCTGTGCATGCATAGCAGTAGGAGAAGACTGTCCCCTCCCAGAGTTTGCCTCAGGGCTACCATGTCTAGGTTGAAAGGTTGAGCAGCCTGCCAGTCTGGAGGCACCTTCAGGGGCCCATCTTACTGCTCTCTGGAGTTAGCCTAGCACCAGTGCTGAGCTCCTTGGTATCCACAGATGCATGGAGAAGTCCTCATCACTAATGAAGGAGGAGGACACCATGTGCATGAGTTCTGGTTCTTCAGCCATACCCTGTACTGACTCAGTTTTTGAGTTTCCTGCAGACAAAGGCTTTTTACTACTTACCCTCCCAAAAGAAAAAAAAAGGCATAAGAAAGCTGTAGTACAAGGCCTTTCTCTTCCCTGGCTTTTAGCGCCCTCTTCTGTGTTCCTGTTAGAAATGCAGGCAGAAATGTTAATTTGTGCTCTGCCTTCTTGGCCTCTCTTCTGACTGTTTTTGAGTTAAAGTAGGTTTGGAAATACTGCGCAAATACTGCGAAGACTCCCATCATGACCGTGTTATTTAATGGGAGACATAACTGTTTTGGTATCATCACATTTGTCTAGGAAAACAAAACAAAACAAAAAATCAAATATTTTATGCCTTTAAACTGGTTCTCCCCAAATACTAACTAGCATTAAAATCAATTGTCTTAAAAACAGCTATTATCCATGTGTGACTGCATCCTGATCACATGTTTTATTGTGAAAGAAAGGCTTTTAAATTTGATATGAAGAACCAGCGCAGGTGATGTTGGAAATGTAGCACACTTTCTCAAGTTGTGAACCATGAAGTTCCCATTTCCCCATCCACTTCCCAATTCCCAGTCAAAAGATTGTCAAAAAATTGTTGAATACAGGTCCAAATGTACATTTTATAATTCGTTAGCAGGTTCCAAATGTGAAGGACCTTTGTTTTCTTTGTCTTCTCCAGAAACGTGGAGTATCTGTAGCTTCTGTTGACTTCACGTCCTCTAGCTCTTAGAAGATCAAGATGCTTAGGTTTAGGCAGATGGAGGGTGGGTATTGACACATGGATAGGGACATAGAAGAAGCCTACACTTTTCAGCTCCTGAGGGCTCAGCGGATATCTGGCAAAGTCTCTCTTTTCAGGCACACCATATTTAAGCAAGCAAGTCTGGCCGAGAGTTAGACTGCTGGCTTCATGTCACACATACTTTCTTGTCTTTTTTTCTGGAAGAGAAGGCGTGAAAGGAAGGAAAATCAGAGTTTGATGGGATCAGGACTGAAGTCCATTAAAACATGTTGATTCTCTTTGGAAACTCCCACCTACTCCATTCCTGAGCTAGAGATAACCACATTTTAAGTTACTGGAAATAACTAACCGTATAAACTGCCTGTGGGTACCCATTCTGCCCTGGATCATATTCTCTACTTCCATTGGTAGAAGGGATAAAAATAAGTGGGTTGAGCAGGGGATACCTGGCAGGGACCACATGTTTCTGGTCAGTGGATATCTTTTCTCACTCTCCACATCTTTTGGGCTTAGAGATCTCCTTAAAAGAAACACTGGGAGGGTGATTACCTTTTATCCAGCAGAGAATTGCATATAGTGTCTGCCTTTGACCCATACATGACCTATAGCTACTTTTTATTTTGCATGACTCTAAGGTCAACAACTTGAAAGTTCTATATAGGGGAAACTTTGACAGTTCAGTTCTGTTAGATCTTTGCTTCCAAAGGATCTACAGAGTTTCTGTACTACAGCAGGTTTTTGAATTAACATCCCTACATAGACTGTTCAAGACATACTAACCTTGAGAACAGATAGAAGATGCAATTAGTAGGTCTGGGGTGGTTTGAGGTTTTGAGGTCTATAACTAACTATAAGCTAACTATAAGCTTATAGTTAAGCGTTGTTATTCGTTCAAATCTGCAATTAGACCTCCCTACAATTAACATTTGTGTAGAGTAATTCTTTGTAAATTTTGCAATAGAAATAGTGAGCAGTAGTGTGTACTGAGTGTACTAATAACCTTTCCGTACTAATTTTATCCAATTAAGCAAACTGTTTAAGGATTGCAAGCTAAATGAATAGATTATCCTGAGCTTTTTCCAGTGGATTTTAATAATAGCAATAGCATATGGCAGATGCAAGAGGATTTTATTTCCTCATAGTAGAATATTTGTCATCCTTAGAAGATCAAGATTAGGAAAAATGTGTAAGTTTTATGTTAGCTTAGATCATTTGTTTTATTTTACTGTTATGTTATGTTATTTCACTGTTTTATTTTACTAAGAAAAACATTATGACCTCTCATTGTGCTCTTAGATTCTCATGATGCAGTTCTAAGATTTAATTCTGCTCCAACACGTGGCTATGAAAAAGATGTTGGAAATAAAACAACCATGCGAATCATCAACTCACAGGTAAGATCTTACTTTTGTGAGTTCGAATCAATATTACTTCTGTAGAAGATGATAATAATTTCTAAGGAAATGTTGGGCTTTTTGGGAAACAGCTAGTGATGTAACAATCATGATGTAGAGCAGGTACAAGTTCTCCCTTACAGGGATGTTCACACATGCTGTTAGTGTAGAGCGACTGCAATAGTTACTTGATATTCTTGTTTGAAGAGTAGGTTTGTAGAGTTTCTGATGTGTCCTGACATGTAAAGGCTCTGCAGGATGCCAGAGCCCCCACACTGCCTCCAGGATCTTCAGAAAGCCTGAGCTGTGTGGGTCCCAGAGCTCTTTTCTCATATTCTCCTGTTCCTCAATTGTTTCCTCGCTGGAAGGTGAAAGAGATGGAAACTGAGTTGTCTTAATGCATAACTTTAAGCAAGTCGTCATTCTGTACAAATTTAGTAGGAACAGGATAGTAAAATACTTCAATGAACACTGGATATTACGCTTAAGATGAGGTTGCTCATCTCAACGGAAACAGAAAATGTGATCTTCTGCATAGAGGTGCCAATAAATAAAGTGTGTATAGAGCTATAGTGACACCTTATGGTTGAGAATGGCTTTTAAATTTTGACAAAACTATTTCCTGAACTCCAGTCTTGGGCAAACTGAGCTTCTTTCCTCTTTGTGAAATGCAGCTGAAAACAACAGAATTACTGTGAAATTTTGTGAAATGTTATGAAAGGAGAAGTTTAAGTAATCAACGGCCACAGTATGATTGGCCATATTGGTATGCTGTGTACATACATACATACTGATTCTTGCCAAATGAAAGCAGAATTTTCATTTCCTGTTACTGTTATGAATTCGTTTTTTTCTTCTTTGCTCATGCAAAGTCCCTCCTTGGCAGGTAATTTTTCTATGTGTATAAAATCATGTTCCTTGCCACCACGTAAAGAATGCTGTTCACTGTCATTCCCTTCACACTGGTTCTGTAGTTCACCATGAGGCTGCAGGCAGAATAGATCATTGAAGTGATCTGAGTTAAATATACTCCCTTTCTTTTAGTAAGGAGGAGGAAGTAGAAATATCTTAAGCTGGCTTTGCTGCTGAAACTGATATATCGCAGAACATTTATCTTCATGTCATTTATTTTACCTCTATTTTTTAAAACTGTTCTTCATTTTACTGTTACTTGCTGCTAGTCAAAATAATTAGTATCTGAGTGTGCTGGTTGCTGACCGTGCCTGAACTCCTGTGCCAGGCAAGGAGGAGGGTTTAGAAACTATTTAGTTGACTAGTCTCCCTAGGCTCCTTATAAGAGAAGAGTGAAGTTCCTCAGCAGGGTAATTTGGACTTTATTAGCTACAGAGTGAAGGTGGAGAGACAAAATGGCTAAATTAGCTGATCTCTGCTGCTAGCGGTGGGTTGGAATCCTCCCAGCTTTGGGCACTGTTGTGAGATCTGCCATGGTGATAATGGAGATTTCCATGGTCTCTGCTGCTCTGTATGTTGCTTAATCTCCATACAGCCTCTCAAGAAACTGCAGGGCATTACAAAAAGTCAGAGCAGGTCAGCTCACACAGCTGTCCTCATTTTCCTCACAAACAGACTTATTCCCACCACTGTTCTGCTCCTTCAGAGAGGTCAGAAGCCAGCCTTGACACTCTAGCCTCCTGCAGAGAGACTGGCCTTTCCTTCCCTGGGAGTGAAATGTTTG